CAATTGTTTTATGAATATAAACTGGTTTATATTCACAAACATTCATTAAACATTCAGTTTTATGAATATAAACTATAACAGTGAGAAATAAAAATCATGATTATCATATAAAGAAAAGGACCAAGCGCTATAACTAACACACTACCAACTCAGTCGTTTTTCAAGAAATATTTTTTATACAAGGCGCAGATTTTCGAGAAAAGTATAAATCTTTTTTCGCGAAAATAACTGGCTATTGATGGATAATATTGGAATAAAAAGTTTGTTGATATTTATCCATTACACGAGATCGTCTCAAATTCAGTTCCCCAGCACGTAGTCTCCGAGTGAGTGACTATAGTGCAAATCGAACGTAGTATTCGGTAAAACGTAGTGTAAGCTACGGCCATTAGAATGCTCACCGGCATCGCTAGCAGCATTCCTTAACTACGCTCCTTGACGTCACAGAGGTTAAGCAATTCAAGATATCGCGGGTTCCTGGTTGGGTGACCGTCTGGGAACCCTGGGATATAACGGCACCGATCCCCCGACCAAAGGGATAAAATACGACTGACGATGACTGACTAGATTAAAGGAGGATTATTCCAAACCAACGATGCCAGTATGAGGCTATGTAATAAGATGTAACTAATTGCAAGATAAATGTAAAAAAATCTATATCAGGAAGCACAGTTGCTATGCATCGTTCTTGCATTCGAGTTAATTAGTAATTTTCTTTACGTGCATACTGGCGATCTGAATATTAATTTTAAACTATCCCTTAAACCGATTTACACAGTAATATAATCAAAACATTTTATTTTTATTAATTCAATTATTATTAAGCACCGATATTTATTTTTTTATTTTATTTTTTATTTTTTTTAGAGTTAACAATTGGCCATGGTTGAAGGTTTTCAGTGAAGGGGGACTGTATGAGAACTTAGTATTCTTCTTAACATTTACGTCTTAGTTTACGTTTTTGGATGTTGCTGGTCCTTCCTTGTCCTTGTTCCAACAACTCGCTTAAAGCCTTCTATATCTTCTGCATAACACGAATACAACCGTGGGTACACACAAGAGTGGGTACACACTCAGAATAAAATATAGTTTCAACATGGGAATTGCGGCATGTGGTACACATTTTAACTTCTGGTGACTAATGAAATATGCATTTATTTGCAAAGTATACGTTCCTTTAGCTAAAGTATTTAAAATATATGAAAACAAAATGTGTATTACTACAACAAAACGAAAAAGTTTAAATTGAATATAAGCCATACATACAATGGGTCTAAAAACCTCCAACGACGCAACAGGGTAAAATACGATTTCACATTAATTCATTTTAGAATTATTTCTTCGTGGGATATTGTAAAATATTGCCGCGTACTACAACAAAACATACAATATCGACAGATGTTTCAATACGATCTGACGCTACAAAATTTTAACTTTCATTCATTGAACAAGAGAATACAAAATTATGCGGTTTTCCATTTTTTAACATTTTTTTACGGAAAAGTTTGAAAAAGACAAATAAAGACGAAATTACATAAGGAGTGGGAAATGCGTGAAAATGGACAAATAAAAGAGTAAAAGACAAAGGAGCCGAGACGAAAGAAAGTCAGAAATATGAAGAAATAGTGAGCAAAAGAAATAAACGCGAAAACGATGAGAGAGCAAAAGAGATTTACGGCGGAAACATAAGTCACAAAATATTAAAATTGCAAAACGGCCGAACGCTTGAGACAGAGAAACGGACGAAAGCTGAAGACAGAAACGATGTGGAGCAGGAAGCAGAAGAGTTGGGGTGGGTGGCAGATAAATGATGGCTAGACAGCAGAGAAAGAAGAGATTTACAGAGATACGGCGAAAAGGAATGAGAGGTAAAGAGACGCGGAGAGGATGGAGGAAATAATCATTATAATTTTTGTTAACTTTCCGTTGGAAGGGAAGTAAGCTGTTTGTCATGTGCCTGCATTTTTCGGCATACACTCAAAAGAATCTAAATCCTATCCTTTCAGAGCAAATTTTATCCCTTCGTCGCACTAGTAAGTCTGAGTTCGTTCTATGACAATCACACGGTCCCTAGAACTACGGAAGGAACGTAACGAAATTCATCAATGAAAACATTTCGTCGCAAGAAATAAAAACGTGAGGAAGGACGGAAGAATGAGACGGAGCGGGAGAAAAAGTGAAAGAGGCCGGCAGAAAGGGGAATGAATGGTGGGAGATAAGAGTGGGAAAAAATAAGCGTGCGGGAGGGTTAGAGTCGTTGAAGAGAGGAAGATAGGAAAAAAGGGATAGAAAAACAGATTGAGAGTGGCAAAAGGGACAAAGGTGGAAAAGAGAAGCAAAGAGGAAGGAAGCTATAGTGGGAGAGAGAGAAAGCGAGAGGAGGAGGAAGTAGGAGAAGTGAGCGAGAGAGAGTGGGAGGAAGCGAGCGAGAGAATGTGGAAGAGAGAGATTGATTAGGGTAAAACCCATGTCTGCTGCTGTGAACACTAGTACCGCAAGTGTGTGTTTTATAGAAAATGTGGATTTTATCACAGGAAGACGCGGTGGACTTCCCCCTTTTTATGAAGAGGTCCGGCGCCGACCGACACATCGGTTTGCACGAATTTCCCCAACCATGTATCTCCTAGCAGTGGACACCGCCCCCAACGGACAAGGTCTAAGCTGCCGACGAATCTCCCGGCATGTGTGGTAGTTTAGTTAATGTGAGTAAGTTTGTAAATAAGGGTTTAGGATAGGACAAGGAAGACAAATGAAAGATTGCACGCGGTCTGTGGCCCGTTGTTTGGGTATTACTCCGGCATTCGCTTGGTGTTGATCGGAGAAACCATGAAAAACTACCGATCAGTGCAGCTGGTTGCTAGAATCTTCCTCCAGGCACCGGCTGACTTCGACGAGGCTATCTAGCTAGTGTCGAAAATTCTGCCGCTGTCGGGACTCGATCCCTAAGACTCGACCCCACACCCTGTCAGAGGCGCCGCAGTGATATCAATTGATACTCTGAGCCACCTAAGCCTGTAGGAAGAGAGACAGTAAGCGTGAGGAAGGGAGCGCGAGACAGAGGGGAAGGAAAAGAAGAAGGGTCAGGAGCAGAGAGAGAGAGACAGAACAAGAAAAAGTGGGAGGAAGAGAGAACGAGACACAGAGAGTGAAAGGGACACACACAAAGTCGGAGAGAGAGAGAGAGAGGGGCGGGGAGAGAAAGAGAATGTCAGAGGAAGAGAGAGACAGAAAGAGAATGTCGGAGGAAGAGAGAGACAGAAAGAGAATGTCGGAGGAAGAGAGAGACAGAAAGAGAATGTCGGAGGAAAAGAGAGACAGAAAGAGAATGTAGGAGGAATATAGAGACGGAAAGAGAATGTCGGAGGAATATAGAGACGGAAAGAGAATGTCGGAGGAAGAGAGAGACAGAAAGAGACAATGTCGGAAGAAGAGAGAGAGACAAAGGCAAAGTGGGGGAGAAAGAGCTAGAGACAAAGTGGTGAGAAGAGAGGGACAAATTTGTGGGAATAGAAAGAGGGGCAGAGTGGAGGGACAGAGTGGAAGGCCGAGAGAGAGAAAGTGGAAGGGAATTTACCTCGCATATGAGTCAGCTACGAAATGGGGAGAAGGGAGAGGTTCAAAACGAAAATAAATGGGAAACCGTGGCAGGCGGGAAAAAGCATCTAGAATGATGGGAGAGGCAAAAAATAATTCTAAGAACCCTACAGACGAAGAAGAGCGATAGAAAATGGACAAAAAGGATATAAGGGGAAGGAATGGAGAAAATATTAGATTAAAGGCACATGAAAGAATTGTTGACATAAAATAAGAACAAGAGAATGAAATATGATTTTTAAAAGTAGGGATATCACACGTGCTACTGACTAATATGTAATAATATAAACTCTGCATTCAATTTGCTTAATTTATATTACGAAAATATGTATTGTTATGAATGTCACGACATCCTTTCATTGTTCTACTAGAAATCGCACGATCTAGAATAATCAAACATACTATTTAGTAATTAAGTGTTCAAACAATAGTACACTAATGCAATGGATATTATATAAATTGGTAATTGCATGACTATGTTTCATAGAAATTGCATTTTCCTCAGTTATTAGTAAATTCGGGCACAAGGAAACATCTTGCAATGCTAGGGTTGCCTGTATGTGACATAGGAACAGTTGACTATCTATAATAAATCTAAGATGTTTGTATTCTGCTATAATTCAGCATGATTTAAGTCAAATTAACGTTGTTTTTTACATTTGTATCATATTTGAAAAGTGCACACTTATGTCAAAATTACCTTCAGTATACACATAGTGCACAACATTTACATTCATTGATCCGCCTGCTTATATGACACAAACAAACACTTCATCTGGGAAGAAACTGAAATGACAATACATGAACGGACATTTAAAATTCATTTGGGAAACTTAGAAACGTCATTTAATCACCAATGACGAGGTTTTACGAGAACTCGGCAGTATAACGTGCCATCCTAACCTCTTTGTCTCAGGGTAGGCGGTCACGAGTCTTAACATGTTTGCACCACCACAACCCGAGTTCAGTCAGAACACCATCAAAGCACACGACGCGACAAAATCAAATAAGCTGAAAAGCAGAAACGCCTTTATAACCTACACGTCGCTGAGCAGCGGGTTCGATCGCCGCGACCAGCGACCACAATAAACCAAGGCAGAGCCACTCCGCTCATGCCGGGCCACGACACGATCTTGACAGGTTTTTAGAACACGCCAACTTCGTGTCCGAGACATCACCGGTCAAGCGGAGGCAATCGGCAACGTTCTCTCGGCCAGTTTCCGAACCAAAACAACTCGTCTGTCAAGGCATGCACACAGCACTTCCCACCGAATAAACGCATCCTCCACCAACTCCCGATCGCATTAAAGGAAACGCGCACATGACATCCGCAGAGCGGGTAACTGCTAGCAGGGCGGGTAGCTCTATTTTTACCTGCAACGGCGAGGGGCGGCTGCTCGTCTGCCATGGGGGCGCGTGCCCGACGGGAAGCACAGTGCCGTCGCCCGGCGGCTGGCAGGGCGGCGCAGCAGCAGCGGCGGCGGCGACGGGAGGCGGCGGTGGGCGCTGGAGGCGGCGGCGACGGGCGGTGGGCGGCGGAGGCGGAGGCGGTGGCGGTGGCGTTGGCGGCGCGGCGGGCTGGCAGCGGCGGGCGCGCGGCAGCGGAGGGACTCACTGTGTCGGAAGCAGCGTGCGGACGGTCGTGCCGGAGGCTGCGTGGCGCGAAGGCGGGCGCTGCGGGCTTCTCGGGCGCCGCGCTCCAAGCACCAAGGGCCTCCTCTGGGCGAGTGCGGCACGCTACAGCCGCGTCCTGGCAACAACTACAATGAGCGCGAGAATCGATCCCCTGCGCGCGCGGGCCGCCCGGCTCTGCCGCCCGCCTGTCTGCCTCCTCCCGCGCGTTACGTCACGCCCCTATTCGCCCTCCGTGGCCCCCGCCGTCGCCCCCTCCGCCACCGGTCGCCCACCGCGCGGGGACTGACGTCACGCGGCGAGGGCCCTCCGCGTGCAGGTTCCGCGCGCGCTGTGGCGGTGGCGGTGGCGGTGACAACGGCGGTGGCAACGGCGGTGGCGTTTGGGGGCGGTCTCGCAATCGGGTACCCGCACACCCCACAGGAACCGCAACAACCCCAGTCCACAACCACTGGTCCAACCCTTACCCGAAACCGATATTTTTAGAGCGGGTGCCGACCGCAGGTGCTACCGTTCGAATTTTTCTTTTTAAATTTCACACCAGACCGAGTTTTTTACAGAAACAAAAATTGTCACAAAATGACTTGACGTATTAAAAATGCTTTGAAATGAGAGAATAAAAGTCACTGGGGTAGGTAAAGCAAGTAATATGAGAATCCACATGTCATATTCGGGGTATTGATTTCGTTATATTGCATAATATGATTTTTCGTTATAAATGTTTTATATGTTTTTGAAAGTCAGCTCATTTATTCTATTCTTAGTTTCTTTTTTTTGGATGATTGAAGTTTTTTGACTACATATAAATAATTATTTACCTTCCGTTACAATACTTCTCATTGGTTTATATTAAAACCATTTTAATTTTGAAACTTAGTAATGTACAGAGCAGTAACACATATTTCAGTAATGTCAGAACACATGCCAAAATTGTTCAAACTCAACTGTTTAAACCTAAAAGTGTACTCTTACATACCGACATTTCTCAAGCAACCTTTCTGAAGTAAAGGTCACTATAAACATGTCACTACTCTTAAAAATAATACTGTCGAAACGTTTTAGTAAAGAATATAACTATTAGCCGAGAAAACACTAAAAATGAAATACTTAGAGTCCATAAGCGTCATTATTATACCAAATAATTGATTTTCCGGAGGGCAAGTAACAGCATACAATGTAAGGCTTCTGAATTTAAAGTAGATATCCAGTATTGTTAGCCATGAAACGAAGAAGAGGACTAAACATCGATAAGTCGATATGTATGGTTCAGAGAAAATGTTTCGTAGGTAATATAGAGGGGTGGCTGACGTAAATTAGACATGTATCTAAAGGACATTCTGTTTGAAGAATTACAGCACTCCAAAGTCAACGGATTGAAACGTGAAATATTAAAACCTGATGAAAAGCCATACCATTGTTAATTTATGGGTCGCAGGCAACACGGCATCAAGGCTCATCTACACTCATTGCGCCATTTGTAAATAGGATTAAAACACCCTCAATTTTCACTAAAGCGAAAGGTGTGCTCTCGTATACGGAAATATTTCAGTTAATTTTTAATTAGTATTAATTTACCGCGAACGCGGGTGTTAAAAAGGCACCCTAAAATGGTGATTTTGTTAGATATTTTAAATAGTGCCAAATTTAATATTTATTAATTTTTCTTAATAGCGACTACAATTCTGCCGGCAAATGCGCTACCTACTTAGAATTCTAGTTAAAAGGAAACGCTGTTTTTAAAGTTTAACTGGAAATATATTTTACAGCACTTACATTAATTTCAGAAACTGCCAGAAATGCCATTCGCTAGAAATTTAAACTTCGATATTCAGGTTGCCCGTAAGGGCCAATGAATAAATTTAAATTGGGCAATTGAAGAAAAATAGATCACACAACATTCCATATTTTTTAGTTCGCTGTATACTTTACTTTGCTAGCAATCTAGTCTACTTTTTTATTTCTCATGCAACTTACGTTGTATAGAGAAAGTATTGTAATGCTACAAGAAAAAGGCGATTTTTCGTTAGAAAAACTCGTTTGTGGGTCCATAATACCAAAAAATGGATAATCCTAGTTCCTACTTGCCCAAACACCTTGATTAGGTAATACGTTACTTCCTCAAACACGTTGTTTTGTCAGGTTCAACTCCTCTGAGTTCTTGGTACGGAAAATTTGGTTTACGGCAAGCCGTCTGTCCATCCGTGTATGTCCCCCTGTTAATAATTTAATCCCCCGATCGTTCAGTGTCTAATACGAGTATTAACATTATCATTTTCAACAACTACATTAATGTCTTCGTCAATATTACGGAACCGAGTTTCCCTTATTTGAAAAAAATAACTTCAGTTTCTATAGTTTTATCCATGTTGAAACATTTTCTCATGTAGTGTTAAATCTTTGCAAATTTTACAACCCCGTGATACTCTATATTAAGTATTGGGTTTTCTCCTGGAAAATAATGCATTGACCTGTTGTTATCTAAAACTTCTCTCATGAATAATCCCAAATAATTATTCACTTCACTCCACAAGATCATCAGAAATATTGGTTTGTCAGTAACGAGTCTCCCTTCGTTTTGCTTGCCTATTTTTGAATAGATTTTCATGAAAGCAATGACCATTCCGCTTTTTCTCTCATTCTTTCCTCAAACTGCCATTCTGTTTTTTTCCTTAACTGATTATTTGATAAGTCTTGTTTTAACACACCGGTTGCCTCTTCCTTTACGAGGCTGTTTTCGTGTGCAAATGAAGCTGCCCTGAAGTAACTGTCTACAGCCAATTCTATCGATTTGCATTCCCAAACTTAATTGCAGAAATGAATAACGTAAATACCTAAATATTAAGTTGAAATTTATTTTTTACGAAATAAAATAATTTATTTTATTTGGTATTTTAAGACGTCGTATATGTATCTCAAATCTTCCACTGAAGATATTTTTAATCTAACATAAAATACCTAACCCCAAACGTTCGATACAACCAAACCTATGTTGTAGGGTAAATGTTATATTATTGAAACTATTACTAATAAATATCATAGTATCACATCATGAAAAGATATTAGCTTACACATTTTTACAAACATTTTTGTTTTCGCTTGGTATCACATATTCCTTCACAGTTCAAAATTCTTCAAAGAAATAACAAATATTTCTAGAAACTATACTGCTTGTGTCAGCACATTTATTGCGCAACCCATGAAATAAATGTCATAGAAACGAGAAATTCAGAAGTTTCTCAGGTCCCCCCTCGTTCAACTTCCCCTCCCCCAGCTTCTCTTTATTACATTGGACTGACGCGTTTGCAAATTTTGAAAAACTAATGTTTGTTATTCTTGTTTTAATTTTCTTTATCGTGCGAGCGTGTGCAGACTATTAAGGCAATTAACTGGTACGTCCATTTTCGACATTCATCCAGTTTTCCTTAAAGTATATACAAGTAGGTTATATCTGCAAATGCTGAGATGACCTATTACTGTATATCTAGACTGTTAATTTAACTGTTATCCCACACCAGTCACAAACAGTTGTTTTTACTATTTTGTCCTAAAATGAATAAATAACGAAGTGATTGACCTTTGTATATATCGATCGTTCGGTTTTTTATTTCAATCAAATAGTCGAGTCTGTGTCACCACGTCGTTTATTCATCCAATGGATCTTCAAAACGACTTCCTTTGCTGCTTTCTACAGGAGGAGTCTACAAATAAATAATACTCCCACTTAGTTAAATTACTAATATTTCAGGATGGGAAAAATATTACTTTATTTCTTCAGTTTCGTGAGACTTTGTGTAGAGTTGTAAAAATGTGGACATTGTTTGCAATTAAAATGACTAAAAAATAAGCCAATACTACGGTAATTAATCGACACACAATAGAAAATATGACGAAGCAAGAGTCATTTTAATTATACTAGCACTCCTAGGAAACTGAAACTAGTGGTGCTACATCAGCACGAAATTTCTCGCGGTATTTGTAGTGGTTATGAATTATTATAATAAGACAATTTCTAACTGCCATTTGAAAAATACGTAAGGAAACGAAGCGTAAACCACACTTAATTTTTTAAGCTCAAAGGTTTAAACGAAAACAGATTTCTGCCATTGTCTTCAGTGTATTCACTTTCTACCTAAATGTGCCAACGATGCCCGATGCGTATTTTAGCCGTAAATACAACTCTTAGTTTACAATAATGCGAACCAACGGCGGCCGTCATTATCGCCTGTTATCAGAGCAATTTAAAACAGATTTAATGGTTAAATAAAATTAAACATAATATATCTTTTCGAGATTCGAATGACAGCCTCCAAGCTCCTTTCACCTTTCTATATATTAACACTAGAAATACAAAATTTAAATCCACTATTTACATCCACGTTGACGATATCACCTTCTTTCACAAGAAACACTTATAGAAACACCGCCTGATAATGAGAGATTATTTTGTGAACTTCACGACGTTCCTATTGTTAAATTGCAACTTCAGAACAAGAGTGGCCACATAGCTGAAAAGTGAATCTCAAGTTATCGGGAATTAAATAAAATTTCGTACAACATTATTTTCAATAGTAAATTAAAATTAAAATGATAATTTTAATTAAATTTATTAAGTTCTAATTAAAATTAAAATAAAATTCGGCAACACCACGCGCGTATCCATCAAGATAAATCTTATAAATCTTAAATATGAGAATGGTATCTAGTTCCTTAATGAAAATATCCAAGCAATAAATATTTCAAATTAATCACCTCGATATTCCTTTGCACTTCGAGAAATCATGTTCTTCCTCGCAACATTTATAACGCTTACTTAATATGCATTTACATTGCAATAAAGATATGTTCCGCATCTAATGTTCTACGATTTGTAATATTACGTTAATTAATATTAAATTAACAACGAGAATGGATTTTCAGAATATCATACTTCCTCCGCCTCACAAATTACGTTTACAGACTGACACCGCCTGAAACGGAGCGCTGGAAATTCGATTTTACCATTTCAAATACTTTTCCAATTTAAACAAATGTACTCAAATGAAAAATTGTGCCTGGTCTTATTTGAAGAACTGTTTTTGATGAACACATTTCATTAATAAAAAATGCTCTCTTCATAATTGTAGTTGTAGGAACACTC